ATAAATAAATAAAATCTTAAAAAAAAAAAAAAGAAAGCTCCCTGGGTCTCTCCTTAGCAATGTCGCTCTACAGTTTATCCCATTGATTGGGGTTCCCATTTCAATGATCACATTCTTACTTCTAGAAGTTTTATTGGGTTCATTTTCCAACCTGCTTCATCTCCTTCTTCGTGATGGTTTTCCATGTATTTAGTGAGCACGCTTACTTTATGTTCAATGTCTGACAATATCAGTATCCGAAACCTGCAAGATCATAGCTCTCTGCTGTTCATGTGAGTTGAATCATTTCTTTTTCACCTCTTTTTATGAAGGAATCATTTACATGCAGTAAAATCCACCCATTTCAGTGTAACCTTCTGCAAGTTTTGACAAATGCATACAGTGTGCACCCACCACCACAGTCGTGACATGGAACAGGTCCATCACCCCCATGCCCCTGTGCGCCCCTTCGTAGCCAACCCCTCCCCCCGTCCCTGGGAGCCACTCATCTGTATAGTTTTGCCTTTCCCAGAGTGCCACGCAGATGGACTCACGATTTGCGGTTTTGAGCTGATCTTTCGCTGACCATGGATGCTTCTGAGATTCGCGCATGTGGCATGCATCACTAGCTCAGTCCCTGGCGGCAGGGCTGAGCCAGAGTGCTCACCCGTCAGCAGACACCGGGCAGGCTGGTTTGTGGCAGTTACAAATAAACCCTCTGGAAATGTTCACATACAGTTTTCCCTTCGAATACAGGTTTTCCGTTCTCTTGGTCAATACCTGGCAGTGAGGCGTCTGGACTGTATGATGTTTGCTCAACTTGGCAAGAAAGTGTTAAACTCTTCCGAGTGGCCGCACACCAGCAGCTCGGATGGGGTCACAGCTGCTCCTCACCAGCACTTGGTGTTGCCAGCTTTTTGCCTTGTTTTTGGTTTGGATCTAGCTGTCCTAACAGGTGTGTAGTGGAATTCCACTGTGGTTTTAATTTGCGGTTCTTTCACGGCTAATGATGCTGTGCTGAAATGGTGTCCACAGATCTTCTTTGGTAAGATAAGTTTTTTGCTCATTTTTAAAAAAAGCTTTTATTTTTATTTATTTATTTGAGAGAGAGAGCAGGGGAGGGGCAAAGGGAGAGGGAGAAAGAGAGAATCCCAAGCAGACTCCCTGCGGAGCACAGAGCCCAATGTGGGGCTCGATCCCATGACCCTGAGATCATGACCTGAGCCAAAACCAAGAGTACGCTTAACTGGCTGAGCCACCCAGGCACCCTTTCTGCCCATTTTTAAACCGGGTTATTTGTTTTCTGAGTTTTGAAAGTTCTTTACATATTTTGGGCATGTTCTTTATCAGACATGTAATTTGCTAATATTTTCTACCAATCTGTGGCTTACCTTTTCATTCTCTTAGCATTATCTTTAGAAGAGCAGATATTTTTAGTTTTGATGAAGTCCAGGTTATAACTTTCATTTTTATTTTATTATTTATTTTATTTTTTTCATCATGAGAAGTGGATTCCTTCAGC